TCAACACCTCCTTCCCACCATGATTTGAGTAAGAAACTACAATTTAGCTTCAACCTAGTGGCAAATATTTGAACATCCCTTAGTTTTTTGTTGTAGGAGAGCTACAATCACGTTTTCTTCCGACTTCAACCCAACACAATTTAAGAACATAAACTGCATCTTCTACTTTAGAAGAAAATACTGTGAATAAAGGAAAATGGGGAAAAAGGATCTTCCAGGATTGGAACCAAGGTAAGAAAAATAGAGAACCAAGCTGCCCCACCCGGGAAGAAAGACAGGTTTTGCTTCCTCGTGGTTTATATGCGACAGCCGTTTTCTGACCTTCATACTACAGCACGTGCTACAGTTTTTGTTTTTTATGAGGGGCACTTGAAGCGTGAGAAATGAATGTAGCCTCCGGTGTGGTTGGTGGGAAAGGAAAAGATGCCTTCTCCAATATCAACCCAAAAAGTTAACCAAGCAAGTACATTTCTTCCCCGACCATCTTTATGCATAATACATGTACAAGCTGTTAGCAGCGGCACAGGCAATCGAATTTTCTGTTGGATGCCATGCTAGATGCAGCAACTTTGTTGTGAAATCAAAAGAATTTCCATTTGCATCAACTCCCTGACTTTCTGCTCCTGTTACAAATGGCCAACATGAAAACAAAAAGAAAAACTTCTGAAAGTTTCTTCAGCTCTTTTTTCTTCTTTCTCCTCTTTTCCAGGTAGGTGGAAGAGGATACGGGGGCATTTGGTTGCTACAAAATGGATAAGGAATAGACGAAAACAAAAGCACTGACCTCGTCTGACAACACGTGTTATACTGCTCAGGGATCTGGATGGCCTTGAAGGAGTCTGAACTTGTCTCCTAAAAGGGCATAACAAATTTCATATGACCATAACACAATTAAGATCATTATCTTTGTCATTACTAGTTCTATCCTTTCAGTAAAATTACCTCATTGGGTTTTTGCTAGCTTCCAAGGTTGTGGATTCAGTACTTCCTGGGGCAACACCAAACACGCGGAATAGATTGCTGGTTCATGTGCAACAGGGGACAACATCATGATGAATTCCAGAAGACCATAATAACAATGAAACAGAGAACATACATAAGAAACAGACCTGTAAGAACCAGTTGCAACTCGAAGTCCATCACCACTTAGACAACACTCAAATTTATCAAAGATTGAATCATTTTCATATAAGTCACAAAGCTGGAAAATCAATCAACGGTGCAATTAGTTGCAAAGCAACAAAACAGGTAAGTTACATGTTGGTTTTTCTAAGGGAGGAAACCTACCTTTGGTCTTAAATATTCATGAACCTGGAAGGTCGCAACTGGACCAGAGTCCATGTTGATGTCCCATAACTGAAGAAAATAGTGCAGACACGTTAGAAACAAAGGAAAAAGTGTTAAGATGTGAAGTAGGCATTTCTTAATACTAAGTACAGGAACACAAAACCCAAGTTATATGAAGAAATGCTTTGGAGAAGAACATTCAAGCAAAGATTCAACAAGGTTTCCTTCCTAAATTTTCAACACTCATATTTCTCAAGTAAAACAAGAATATATACATAGGAAGACACACAAACACAAACTAGGACAGGGGAAATTATGGCCTGTTTAGTAGTAGAAAACTGCTCTGGTTTTACTTTCTAAATTCATTTACGCTTAACTCACAACATGTAAGTAATTGATGAAAGTGAAAACAAGATAAAATACAGATGATAAAAATGTGGCATGACCTTAAAAATAACATCTCATTATTTTTAAACTCGTCACATTTTTCTTATCATTTTTAAAATATTTTCATTCTCAACAATATACAGTTTTGTGTGTTTATTAAAAAAATGAAAATTTGAAATGATAATTAAGGCCATACACCTAATAGGAATGTAAATTATATTCCTTGCATTACAGAAAAAAAAAAACTAACCAAACATTCTGGAACACCAAGAGTGAAAAAAAATATAGCACAGAGAATCACATTATGTAATTGACAGGTTTTTAAAGTTAAAAGGCTGAGGTCTCCCATTAGAGTGTTCAGAAATTATAAAAACACAGCCATCCTTCCATCATAGTTGGAACTCCCATCAAGCCTCAGTCCAACTTCTCAGAATATTCCCAAAACGCTAGAAGAATAAAGAGACTTATCTAGATTCTTACATCAGAGGGTAAATAATACTCAGAGACAAAATATATCTCGTATGTCATACACAGTCCTCAATTGGAGAATCTCCCACCATCCACTACAGATTGACCATAATCACGTCGAGAAATATTACCATTTGGCCTAATATTTAAACTCATTGCATCAACAAATTAATTTTCAGTTGGGGAATAGCCACAGTAAACATAATATGAATTTTTCCAGGTTACTAAATGAACAAAATTGATGAGATGTCAAAGATTCAGATGCTGAAGCTTCAGGGTGATGTAAGGAATGAAAACTTCAAATTCTATCAGGTAACTTTGGTAGTATTTCTAGTGCATATATCTAACATGAAACATACTCAAGCACATAAAGCATAGTGTCATGTGATAAACCCATAAATGTCCAGCAATTTTTGTTCCCATCAACTTTACAATTAGGTCCAATTTTTGGATGCCTACAAAACGAACTAAGAAATTTAATACAAGATTTTGCAATAAATTTTAACTGCCTACATATTCTTTCAACAAATAAAGTTGAATACTCATCCTATCATAGTAGTAAAAATATCTAGAGAAAAAATTTATTCACAAAGCTCAAAGTGAGTAAGGCCCAGAGAGTCTTCAAGTCTTAGGGAATGTAAACGGATAACCATATCTTCCATTTCTATCATGAGTTTCAGAACAGAAACAATGTATTGAAAAAAGTCAAGATTGCATTGTATCCCCAAATGATTCCCATCTAAGTCATTGCAGTAATGTGTTGTAAATACAAATACATAGCAGAAGCATCCAAACCTTAAGAGTCATATAATCTCGACCAAGTATGTATCTCCCATCCTTCCCAAATTTAATATCTGATATTGATGCAATTATCTCCGTAAAAAATGATCTAGTACCAGGGGCCTCCTGTTCCTCAAACCTGTCAGCACAGAATAACAATCTTCATTCTCAAGAAACTATAAGCAAACTTCGTTCCAAGGCAAACGTGACAAAGGAATGTTGTAACTTCAATTGCATGTCAAATATAAAAAGTGTTAATCCTCCTTTGTTGAAACAGTATACGTTTTTCAGTCATCTGGCAAAGAGTATGGACTTTTCACATATCATAAATAATGCACCTGACTAATCCCACCCACTTTGGAATTAAGATCTAACCTAACTTCAGCTGAGTTAAACTGTCTTGAAACTATTTGTTTTTGCCTGCAATCCTCTCACATGAGCTTTCTCTTCTTTAAGTAGCAAGCATTATACGAAAAAATAGATTACATTTTCTGAGAAAGGAAGGAGGGAAGAGAATAGAAGTACATATGACACTTACAGCTTGGCATGAGAATCACATAATGCTGATTGCCGCAGATCAATCAGGCGGATTGAGCCTTTAGAGCTGCTATATGCTAACATATTACAATGGATAGGGTGAAACTCTGCTGATGTAATCACCTCTGCAAAAATGAATATGGCAGTGTCAGGCCCTGATAAAAAAATTCAAAGTCCAAAAAGGACCATCCAAATGGAATATAGACCAGGCTGGTCAGTATAAGCATAAAAAATAAGTGAATTAGACAAGATTTTGACATTGAATGATATTATTGAATGAGTTTCATACGCATTTCCAAAAGGTCTCATATTGTGAGAAATAAATAAACACATCTATCATCAGAAGACTACATAGATTTATCGAGACACAGAGGAGGGGGATGAAATCGCACACATACAGGTAACTTCAGCTCACGCATGGATGCATGCATTCAGAGATGTAATATTTTTTTAAAAAAATTGCTGTATCACACCTAAAATACAGCCTAGTATAAGAACTCAAAGGTAAGCCACCTGCAGAAAATTTCGCACTAAACCATAAGTGCCAGACAGACAAGAAGCTCACCAGTTAAATCCTCCATATTTGCAGGTTTGACATCAACAATGTTGAAACTTTGATTGCTGATCTCCAAGTTCCAAAGATTTATCCGCAGGTCATCAGCAGAAATAAAAGTTTCTCCATCACTAAAAAATACAAGATAGATGGTAACGATCAGTAGAATTTTAAGACAATAAATAACAAGCAAACACTATGGGGAAGTTCCAAAGACAGCATGGACTTCAATTTAAAAACAAAGGCATTGGCTCCAGATCCCAATTGTGGAAATTTTGTCTCAGAATTGTAAGATAAGCAGAGCATTATCAATTAAGTTCTGAAATATATTCACTGCATTCATTTTCTTTGTAACGAAAATATTGTGCATTAAGCACCCCATCCTGTCTCCTAAGATTTTAACATAAACTGGAATGTTTGAAATAAAAAGATTCGCGCGTGCGCGCACACAGCGTATGCAAGAGATTGGTCTGTTAGAAAGTGGAAATAGCAAGCATAATGGTAAAAGAAACCACCTGTTACTTGAGATTGAATTAATATGATAATCATGAGCATGAGCATATACTCTCCGACAGCGAGCCATTAAGCTTGTCTCATGACTAGTTACCTACAGATTTTACAATCATGTATTAGTCCTACACATAAGATTGAAAGCAGTTAAACAAAATTATTATTGCTTACTAGCATTATTTTCAAAAATGCAAATATAGCAAAAATTTGCACATATTTTTGAGATTCAAAGCATTAAAGACAAAAATAACTTCAATCATTCATATACAAGAAGCACAGAGTTACATGCTCTTGACTTCTAGATTAACTATGAAATAATTGGTAAAATGAAAGTGAAATTTGATATGTTTAAAATATAAAAGCAAAACGCGCACATCTAAAAGAATACCACCGCAAGGACATGCAAGATATTCACATATTATGGTTTTATTTTATTGCCTGATAGCATATTCAAAATAATTTATTTACTTTCCACCTAGCTAGAGTTGCTACAGGTCAGCATCTGATAGGTAAATAAAAGAACAGCTCCTAGAGAACTTCAAATCAGTACTTCACTTTCCCTTCGCTTTTATCACAACTGGTTCAAATTTGGCATGTGTTTTGCATGTTTTAGACATATACAAAAAGTTTTAAGTGTCCCCTAAAGAAATAACCATAGCAAGGAATGCAATCGATTGAGCTGAGTACAACTACCACAGGTAAATGCAGTGACGGGATTTCTCCCTGGTGGAAATGAGAAGTCATTATTCAGATAATTGTATGATCTGTCTGGGTATCCTCCATTTGCAACATACTGTTTAGTGCTTGAATTACTTGAAGTACCAACAGTGCCATTGCCAACAGCTTTTGAAGGGTCCACATTCATCTCAGAAATTTTCTTGATCTTCTTTTCTTGTACCTGAAAACTCTCAGACAAATACCAAAGAAGGTGGTTCAGATATGCTTCAAAAGGAGGATGTTTCTTGTCTTCACAGGAAGAACATCCATACAAAGAAAATGACTTTAATACATTAAACAATAGTCAGAGAGAAAGAGAAGCAGAATTTTTCAAAACATTAAGCAGTGTTTATAACATTCTTCACAACCATCATCCATCCATGAGTGCATATTTTCAACAGTGCAATACCAATAAAAGCATTTACACACAATAACCTTAAGTAGGCATTACAATCTCAAATACACGAAATAGGGATCTCTGCACATAATTTTCATCAAACAGATGAAGTAATACAATAAAAGCATTGACACTCCACTAATTAGAAACCTGAAAAAATGATCCCGAAGCAGATCGATTACATATCTTTCTTGCATTACATATAATGTATTTGAAACAAGAATGAAATGTGGGTAGTTTAAGATGCCATATTGGATATACTTGCCTACTGACAGTGCAAAACTAATTGTTTCAACAATTTTTGAAGCCAAAAAGAAAAGATAATGGCTTTACCTACCTTCCAATACTTGATAGTTTTGTCATTGGTAGAAAGGAGAAACAAGGCACCATTGGCTGGTTGGCACCACCTAATTTTGTTGATTTTCTCCTCTATCTCCAAACTCTTGAGATAGTCAAACTGGCATAAAGAAGTGAGTACCATAAGATTCCTGGCAGGATGACTCTAAAGCAGATACATAAGAAACAAAAAGATAATAGATAGAAACAAATACCTCAGGTTCGTGGCTCTGAAATTCTGTTTTATACCGAAACTCAGGATGCCTGGTGATTGGATAATCCATCCTCTCCAGATCTCTTCTGGATCCACCATGCTACAAGTAACAGTATATTGAAACCATTATTCACAATAACAAGAAATGGCTCAAGAAAATAAAAATTTTGGTGAATTAAAACTGAAAGGATAGGAAGAACTACATCTTTTGTATCTGTCCTCTCAAAGAGAACCACCCGCCCACCACGGTCACCAGTGGCAAGATGGTCCCCAGTTTTATCAAATTCAATTGCTGAAATTATATCAACTGCATAGAAAGAAAAACAGACAAGTTGTAAATTATTCATCAGAATCAAGTATCTTCCAAATTTACATGAAAGCAATCGTAGAAATTTTGTAAATCAGTGCAAATTTATATGAAACGTAGCTTTGTATCAACTGTCCTCTTGCTACTAGTTTACTACCCTTCCTAGATTTCTATTGTAGATTTGTTGTAAATCAATTTCTAATCGAATAAATAACATTATGTTTCAACTGCTGTAACTTGCTCAAGCAGCATTAATTGCCATTGCAGCATCAAATAGCTTGATCACTAAACAGAAGAGTACGGTGCAATAAATGAAACATAAAATTATTACTACTAATCTCCAAAAAGGAACAGAAAAAACCAGAAGTGCAACTAGTTGGACAGTAACACAGTTGAAATGTCCTTGATTCAAGTTCTAGCAATAAGATTCTAAATCCAGGTACAAATAAATCCACCCTCTTTTTCACATTATGTTTTCCTGAATATTGAGTTCCAAACTGTTTGGAACTCCTATAGGAACATGCTGTTGTGCTGATTAACATGCTTGTACTCGCAAGCACATCGGAAACAGAGATGAATAGATAACAAAACAAGCATATTGCACCAGCATGAACTCAAATAAGCTTAACACTTGAACAAACAAGATTTTAAAGCTTACGAAATCCAACCTTCAGTAACCAAATAGCAATTAAAAAGTTATAACAGAAAAAAAAAATACGTACTTTTTCTGTATAAATAATTAATAAAAACATATATATATATATATATATATATATAATATTTGTCACAAAAATATATTTATGACAAACATTTTATGATTTACATTGTTTATATTATTAATTTGAAGAAAATATCAAGAGAATTATTTAAATTAGAAATAAGAACATAAAAAGTTAGGAATAGGATACGTATTTCCCCCTTCTTAGGTCGCTTTGAAAGGCATAACAAGCATTTGCTTTTTATGCTATCAAACTCAAAGAACATGGTACTTAAAGTTACTTATAAATAGCAAACAAGCAATCCGAAGCAACCCCATTTAGAACAAGTATTGAAGGGACAAGTAGAAGGAAATTGGTGTTTAAGGATATTGTTCTGGGATAATGGCAGTCATCAGGAAGGTTTTCTACACAGAAAAGTCCCCTTCCAACTAATAGCAGAAAGTTATAGAACTATTAAAGATTTCTGCTTATTAACTATTTATTGCTTCAAAGAATTCCTACATCTCATTAGCAACTCTCCAAGGTAGATCTGCATACATATAACAAACAAGAGTGTGAACCAGATCCTCCTAAGGCAGCAGAAACTTCTCATTAAGATATCAATAACCAATATCAAACTTTTCAATCTTCTCTTTGTCCACGAAGTCTTCACTCTAGTGGATAAATTTCAAGATAAGCGATATTTCCAATCCCAATTACTTCTGGTCTGTTTATGAAAACATTGTTAGGTAAACCAAAGATTATCACCATCAGCTGCTCTGGCAGATGTCTTCTTAATGTAGCTTCCTCAATTCATTATATTAACAGCAGACTAGTGCCTTACTTTCACTGCCTTCCATTATATCTTAAGCCAATGTTCCTGTATCTTGAACTACGAGGTCAACTCCTTGATCCTGATCAAGCAACTCCCACACTGATCTAATGCAGGTGACAAATTTGCTACTCCTGCGAATGTCCCAAATATATAGAAGAACCAAACAGAGTCACAAGATACTCCATACAAATTATTTGCTTGTTCTTGCCGGCTATCAAGTTTCCAACCAAAAGTAGTTTGCAACAAGACTTGTTCAAGTCAGGCTAAATTTAGCAATGGGAAAGAGAGACACTAGGTTCTATCATAAACCTAAAATGCAAAAAATTCAGGAAAATAAACGAAATCTTACAGAAACAGAACCCTATGCACCAAGAAATTCAAATTTTCACTTGCTGCCCATTTCCCAACAGATCAAATGTAACTTCACTAGTTATCTGCATTTTTATTAACCTAATTCTATAAGATGAAAAGTAACTGCAGGAAGAACTTATTGATGTGATCCTACTAATATGAATATTTCTTAGCATCACTGAGTAAACCCATGATATAAGAAGGGTGGTTGTCATCCCGCCAACTGTAACATGGAAATCACAGTCGCAGCAAATCAATTTGCCATTGGTCACAATGATACTAAAGTCGGAGCATAAACCCCAAGCAACATAGATTCCTAATGTATGAAATTAAATATGATACACTTAGATTCAGGAAAAAAGAAAAAGTGGTGCCTGTGTCGATTACCGCCCGTTTTAACTTACGCCGGTAGATACAAAACTCACCATTCTGATGATCAGAATCCTAAAACTGGCTTAAAAACATGCAATAAAAACCTCTAACCATCAGTTAAACAATAAGTCTCTCCCCATTTAGATCCAGGTTACAAAAACAAGATTAACTGCTAACAAGTTAGAAAAACTAACTGAGAGTCGGAAACTACAAAACCAGTTCCTGCAACATATACACTAAAACTTCTCCCATCACTTTCAAACTGTATTTTTCATTGAATCCAATAAATAAGTTACTGACTGTAACCTTTTAAATACATGAGTTGACAGAAAATGCACGCAGAAAGTGCACTACACTGTTAATCTCTAAAAACCCAGAAATTAGCCCCCAAAATGCAATCGGAAGCCAAGACCGAAAACAACAACTGCTCAACGAGACACAAATCTCAAGGAAAAATACTGGACAACCCACGATCCGCAATAGATCCAAACCAGCAAAAGAAGCCCTAATTGCAAACTATCAATTGGATCCAATGGAAAGCGAAAAGAAAAAAGCCAAAAAAAAAACAAAAAACAAAAAACAAAAGCTGCGGAGAGAAGCGATGGGTATATCGAGATTTACCTTCCTGGACTTCTTCACCGGCGGTTCGCTCGCCAAAGACCTGAGAGAATCTCCACTCGAGGGGCGAAGGTGGGCCCGCCGGAGCTGCGACGACCTCATCAGCACCGTTCATTTCTCTCTCTCTCTCTCTCTCTCTCCTCTCTCTCTCTCTCTATATCTATCTATGTGTCTATTCTATCTCTCTTCTATGACAATCAATCAAAAGGGTTAGAAATCAACGGTCCAGAACTCACCTCCCAATCAAAATCACGGCATCGAAGATCGCATCGTATCGCAACACCTCTTCAATTCATCATCTCAATTTTCTGTATGTCAATAGATTTTCCAATCGAAGCATTGATTGATTAGTAGCACAAGAAAGATACCCAATTTTCCTCTCTCTCTCTCTCCCCCCCTTCTCTCTCTCTCTCTCTCCCCCTCTAGAGAATAAAAATTCACACTTCCTCTTTCTATACCCAAAAA